AGATGAATTGATTCAAGAAGAAGTAAACTGAATATTATATTCATATTTATAAAACCCTCCACTTCCTGACATTCAATTGAATATCTTTTATTTATTAGCTTGAGAAACTTACAAAAGAGGAATTAGCACGCAAGAAAAAATTACGTAGGAAAACGAATGAAAAACGTCAAAAAAATACGATTAAAATGCAATTGAAAATGATTACACCAGTTGATATTGCATTAGAAGATTCAATTAATGGTGGTGATGACAGCTTATTTGATCTAAAACTTATCAATAAAACAGGAGTATGATTATTTCAATATATATATATTTATTTATTTATTATGTATATTGTTTATAACAATCAATAATAAATAATTAATATATATTTTTAATAACCAGGCTATCGATAATATTAGAAAAGGTGATATGGACATTATCCTGGACGACGATGATTTTGCAGATGATAATGATATTGTAATTGATAATGATAGTGATAAAAAAGAATTAAGAAAGAATAAAGGCGATGATGATGATGATGATGATGATGATGATGATGATGATGATGAAAGTGATGATGATTCTCAGAACTTGGAAGAAGAATTGGATAATATGTAAATAATTTTCAAATAAATGTTTAAATATATATTATTTATTAATTAATTGTATTAATACTATTTTTTATAGGCAATGGTTACTTTGGGCTCTTTTCATCTTTTTTTCATCTTCGTCAGGTATATTGGCATCCCACATTTCTTCATCACTGTCTTTATCAACAGGAACTATTTCTATATCTTCGTCATTATCATCATCCTGAATCTATTAAAAAAAAATTTTTTTAAAAATAAAAACTAATAAATAAATAATAAATATTTTTTAATTTTAATTTTACCTCAGCAGCTTTACGTTTTAATGATTTTCCATTGGACTTGACTGTTCCATTCTTTTCAATATTTTCACTTGACTTATTTTTTGTAATAATTTTCAAGTCAACATTATCATCCTCATCTTTAACAATATTCTCATTCTCATCCTCACTTTCATTTTCACTTTCATATTCATCCATATCTTCATCATCATAATCATTGATATTATCACTTTCACTGTTATCATCATCATCATCA